TTTTCAGATAGATAATTTCCAAATGTCTTTTCCCGTTCAGTAGGTTGCCTTTTTGTTTTGCTGATGGTTTCCTTCACTGTGTAGAAGCCTTTTATTTTGGTATAGTCTCAATAGTTTAATTTTGCTTTTGTTTCCCTTGCCTAAGGAGACACATCTAGAAAAATGTTTCTTTCTTTTCTTTGTAAGAGTCTATTTATCTTTTTGAGAGAGAGAGTGCATGCACGTGAATTGGGGAGGGGCAAAGAGAGAGGGAGAGAAAGAGGGAAAGTATTTCAGCACTCTGCTGAGCCTGGAGCAGACGGTGGTGGGGGGGGGGTTGGTGTCTAGATTCCACGACCCTGAGGTTATGACCTGAGCCAGAACCAAGAGTCTGGTGCGTAACCGACTGAGCCACCCAGGCACCCCTAGAAAAAGGTTTCTATGACTGATGTCAAAGAAATTACTGCCTATGTGTTATTTTAGGGATTTTGTGGTTTCAGGTCCCACGTTTAGGTCTTTAATCCATTTTGAGTTTATTTTTATGTATGGTGTGAGAAAGTGGTCCAGTTTCATTATTTCACGTGTAGCTGTCCAGGTTTCCCAACACCATCTGATGGAGACTGTCTTTTTTCCATTGTCAGTGAATCCTCTCACTCAACAATAGACCCCAACAGTTACTTCTCATCACACTTTCCTGAGGTTTTGTCAATGACAGGAACATTCTGAGGGCCTGGCCAGAAAGCCCTGATAGCAATGGAACGCCTGGAAGACCACACCCTACAGTCCCCTTCCCCGCCCAAGATCAAGCGCTGAACATTTAACCGCCTTCAGCATGACATGCACTCTTCCTGCCCTCTTGTACCCCGCTGAACCTCTCCTACAAAATGGTCGGTGTCCCTCTTGCTGTCAGAGAGGCTGCTTGTTAAAGCCTGAGTCGGCTACCTCCCCTGCCTTCCGGCACCTGAAACGAAGCTCTCCTTTGCTCTTTTCCGAAACCTCCTCTCTTGAGTTACTTGTGTCTGTCGCAATGAGTTTCGATGAGTTTATCTGAGTTTGCTCAGCAACAGCGTTGCAAACCCAGCCATAGTCTACCCTTTCCATTTGTCCAGTTCCCTCTGGATTCCCAGCCACCAAGCCTCTGGCCTTGGCAGCTCCAGGTTTCACCCACCGGCTTCCTGAGTTAGTGGCGCTGACAGATCCTTTCCTAACACCACTGTATGTTCTTGCCTCCTTTGTCATAGATTAATTGACCATAGGAGTGTGGCTTTATTTGGGGGCTTTCTTTTCTGTTCATTGATCTCAGTCCATGTCTTTTTTTTTTTTTTTAAGATTTATTTTATTTGAGAGATGGAGAGACGGAGAGTGAGCACGAGAGAGAGAGATAGAGAGAGAGACAGGGCATGCACCAGCGGGAAAGGCAGAGGGAGAGGGAGAAGGAGGCTTCCCGCTGACCAGGGAGCCCGTTGCGGAACTCGATCCCAGGACCCTGAGACCATGACCCAAGCCAAAGGCAGACGCTTAACGGACTGAGCCACCCAGGCGTCCCAGTACATGTCTTTTAAATTATTATTTGGCGTGATGAAATGGGATGTACACATAAAACTCTTCTGCTAAAGACCAAAGTGTGGTGGTCATCTGTAAAAGAGCATTTACACGATTGATTGAGCTATGAGCTGAACTAGCCGCCTTTCCCGGGGAACATTACTTCTTACCGGAAGTAAGGCACGCAGGCATCCCCAAAATGACTTAATACTTAAAAGGCATATATATATATATATATAGACATTGGGGAGGGTATGTGCTATGGTGAGTGCTGTGAAGTCTGTAAACCTGGCGATTTACAGACCTGTACCCCTGGAAATAAAAATACATTATATGTTTATAAAAAATTAAAAATTTAATAAAAAAAAGAAAAAAACTGAAAAAAATATATATATTTTTTAAGTAGGCTCTGCCCCACATGGAGCCCAATTCAGGGCTTGATCTCTTGACCCTGAGATCAAGCCCTGAGCGGAGATCAAGAGTCAGATGCCTGACTGATTAAGCCACTTAGGTACTCCCAAACATATTCCTCTAAAACAAATCAAAGCCCTGAGATTTTGACCTATTACGGAAGTTGATAATGCAAGCACAAGCAGGAGGCAGAATGCCTCCAGGGATGGAAGTGTCCCCAGTTTTCTGCTCTCTTGGAAAGGTTTTTCCCTTCCAGGAAGTTAGTTCATTCCCTCTTCTTCATAACTCGCAGGTCAGCCCTTCCCAGAGGGCCTGGAGACCCGTGCCAACCTATCTGCCTGAAAGACATATCTGTTCTTGTCCACATGCCACAGAACTGGGATAGGACTCAGTCCTGCAGGGATCTGCAGAGCGAGAACAGGCAAATTCTATTTCCCAAAGATGGCCACAATGGTATGTATCCCATCCCAGCCTCTCTTGTGACTGCCTTGACCAATAGAGTTCAGTTTTGTGATTCCTGAGCCTACCTGCATCATAAAAGGCAACTCCCTTGGGGTGCCTTGGTGGCTCAGCTGGTTAAGTATCTGACTCTTGATTTCAGCTTCGGTCATGATCTCAGGGTCCTGGGATCAAGCCCCGCATTGGGCTCTCTGCTCAGTGGGGAGCCTCCTTCTCTCTCTCCTTCTGCCTCAGCTCCCCCTGCTTGTGCTCCCTCTGTGTCTAATAAATACATACATACATAAATACATACATACAGAGAGATCACAAGTAGGCAGAGAGGCAGGCAGAGAGAGGGGGAAGCAGGCTCCCTGCCAAGCAGAGAGCCCGATGTGAGGCTTGATCCCAGGACCCTAAGATCATGACCAGAGCCAAAGGCAGAGGCTCAACCCACTGAGTCACCCAGGCACCACTAAATACATAAAATCTTTAAAAAAATTTTATTTTATGAAACGTGGGTCCTATTTGCATGGCAAATGTTGATATTGACCCATCATTCAGCAATCATGTTTTGTGTTTGTCAGGCACCCAGCTAGACTCTGAAGGGGAGCAGGGCTTCTCCAAGCCACGGCAGCGATCATGACTCACCTCGGGTCACTAGTGAGACACTGAGACTTCACTCTTCGGCATGGCTACATGATGGCCAGGGAGCATCACAGGTATCGGCCGCTTTGCTGCCACGGGTGGGCACAGCCTAGGAAGTGTTCCATCCTTTTCTACCACCACAGTGGCAAGGAAGTTTGGGGGTGCCTCGTGGGCACAGCCCCAAACTGTCCCTTGCAGGTGATATGCCTTTTTTGAAAAAATATTTTATTTATTTATTTGAGAGAGAGAGAGAGAGAGACAGATCACAAGCAGAGGGAGGGGTAGGGAGAAGCAGACTGCCCGCTGAGCAAGGAGCCTGATGCGGGACTCAATTCCAGGACCCTGGAATCATGACCTGAGCCGAGAGCAGACTCTTAATTGACTGAGCCACCCAGTGCCCAATGATAATGTCTTTTAAGTGGCACCCAGATGACACTATCCAGAAGTACTTCCTTAGAGATCCACTGTCTAACAGAGCAGGTAGTAACAGATGGATTTTAAAATCTCAGAGGGTAAATCCCACATTCAGTGTTCTTACCAAAAAACAAAAACCAAACCAAACAAAACAAAAACCAGAGGGACACAAGGACACTTTTGGAGGTGATGGATATGTTTATGACCTCGATCACAGTGATGGTATTCCAGGTGTTTGCCCACGTCCAAACATTAAATAAAGCTGTAAGAAAGAGTGCTTCCTCCTTTAGCAACACTTAGACGACAAAGCTGAATTGCATTCAAAATCCACTCTAAGTAACGTGAGAATTTTCAATAGTATGTTCTATTCATAAGTGAAAGAAAAGGCAAAGCTATTAGGTTTTTTTGTTTGTTTGTTTGTTTGTTAGATTTTATTTTACTTTTGAGTCCTCTCCACCCAACATGTGGTTGGAGTTCACAACTCCATGATGATGATGCGGAGGCTCTTCCCACTGAACCAGCCAGGCGCCCCTAAATAACTTTTTTTTTCAGGTGTCCTCTATAGATGACCCGCCCCCCACCCCTCACACCTCAGCCCGGGCCACAGCCTCGACCAGGCTAACCAGGTGGCCAGAGCAGACAGAGCCCAGGCTGGGGCCAACCGGTGTTTGCAGGCTTGGCTGATGTCATAGCCGCCTGTATTAGCCTTCCTTAGGGAGAACGACGACTGTGCTTGTTTTACCCGCTTGTCAAAAATGCTGCTTTGTTTATTTATTCTTGAGCTTCCGTTTCTCTCTTGTGTGTTTCACAGAAAAAGCTGGAGCCCCTGAAGCCACGCGGGTATCTTGCCTCTTGGGGAGCCAGAGTTTTGTCACCCTTGCTCGCTCTCTTTTCTGTTTGCTTATTCGTTTTTAGTATTTTTTAGTATGTTTTAGCAGCATTTATTTTCAGTGAATGTCAGAAACTCAGCCCACTCCCCAAAAAGAAAGAAACTAAGCTCCCCACACCCTGCGGGCGCCTCCCACTCCCGGACCTCGCGACCCGTGGGTGCCACGCAGCCATGGGAGCGCGCGGGTGTCACTCGGGGGCGCTCGGTTTTTCCCATCTCCAGCCTGTCCTGAGCCGCGAGCACCTCCAGTCGGAGTACATCTGTGGAACGAGAGAGGAACCGCCGGAACCGTCGTGAAACTTTCCTGCTGCCGTTTCTCCAGGGAATTCGGGGTCCCCCGCATCCCTCCGAGCGGGCGCAGGCCGCAAGGTCGGAGCTGATCAGTGGGTCAACTTCTCGTTCCGAGGCGCGGTCAGCCTCCAGTCGGGAGTCCTGGGGAGCAGGCAACCGGGTGGGCGTCCGGTGGACCCGAGAACACCTGCGGCCTCTGGCCGGGAGGGCGGGTCCAGTAGCCGCCGCGCCTCCTTAAAGCCACGGCTCCGCCCCGCCCGCCCCCCTCTCGCGCCCGCGGTTCCACCCAACCGCCGGATTCCAGCCGCCTGGGCAGAACGTCGCAGAGCCGCGAGCCCGCTTGGAGCGCGCGGTCCGAAAGTCCCCACGTCTGGTTCTGCGTCCCCGGCTCCCCAGATCCGTCGCCATGGCCAGCCAGGAGCTGGCGCGTAAGCTGCAGCGGCGACTGCAGTGGGAGGAGGCGGAGGAGGGCCGCCCCCAGCCCGCGTCCTGTGCTTTCGCGGCGCGGGAGCCCGAACCCGAGTGCGAGCCCCCAGCCTGGGCGCCCACCGCCAGCGCGGACGCCGAGCTGAGCGCGCAGCTGACCCGACGGCTGGACATCAACGAGGGCACCGCGCGGCCTCGCCGCTGCAAGGTCTTCAACCCCTACACCGAGTTCCCGGAGTTCAGCCGCCGCCTCATCAAGGACCTGGAGAGCAAGTTCAAACTGTGAGCGCCCGCGACGCCCTGCGCAATGCGCCCGGGAGGACCCTGCACCTTGGGACCCGAGAGGGAGGGAGCGGGGAGGTGGCGATGCGCGGGTCTTTCTGGCCCCTGCTATGATGGGACAGGGTCGATAATTTAGGAGACCCGGGGTACCCTTAGCATTTAACCCACGCCTCAGATCCTGCGCGCCGGGAGCCCGTGCCGGTGCGGCGGTGGTGGGGTTGGGAGGGGAACCTGGCCTGGCCGGGACCCCGACAGCAGTGGCCGCAGCTCTCCCCGACTGAGCTCTTAAGTTCCCCTGAGCCCCAGGCTCCCGGGTCCCGACGGCCGGTCCCGCCCCCTCCGCCCCTAGCGGCCAGAGGTGCCCGCCGCGCAACTTCTAGGAAACCGAGTCGCTCGGAGCCTCACCTGGCAGCATTAACTTTACCGCCCAAGGGAGAAATTAGCCCCATTGTTTATCTTTTCAAACAAAGGAGTAAAGTTATCCTTGGCTGCCTCGCAGGGTCTGATGTACCCACAGAGTCTGAGAACTGAGAGTTGGTCAAACCAGTTGCAGAAGATCAGGACGTTCCTGAAGCGAGTGTGTCCCGGGAGCCTCCTGGCGGCGTCGCGGTATCTATTTTACCCGTTGCGTTTTGGGTAGGAGGCGCCCGTCGGAACCCCGACATAGCCCCTGGCAGCCGGTGGGACCGGGGCTCTCTCGTGTCCCGCGGTGAAAGCCCCGCCGAGCCCGGGAGCTGCTGGGCGTTGGAGGCAGCGTAGAGAGCTTCCAGGATTCGGCCTTGCATTCTGGGAGGTCCCTGGACCTCAGTTTCCAAATCTGTAGAGTGAGAGCGGTAATCGTCCCTGCCTTTTAAGGCCATACGGTATTTTGTACACCCTAAGCTCCTAACGGAGCTATTAATATTATTTCCAGAATTGGGCCAAGACCGGAAAAATGCCTGGGGGAGCAGAGGCCTCCGGCCAGGTCATGCTTGGAGTGTTTTTTAAAAGCGCTTGGAATGTGTTTGTCCTCCCGCGTGGAGGTTCTATTTAAAGGCTCTGTGGCCGGCACTGTGTGGCCAGAACCTTGGCCCCTTCTTGAGGCTGGGCTCCAGTCCAACCCCGGCCTCTGTGGAGGTCAGCGGAGGCTGGCACCCGGAGCCTCCCTGCCTCCTCGACACCCTGATTTCCCTGGCTTCCAGGCACTGTTCTGTGGTGTTCACACCTGGTGGGTCTAGTTTGGGTAATTAAGGAAGGCTGAGTTTTGGCAAATTAAAAAAAAAAAAAAATTGGTCTGGGGTGGAGATGGAAAAGCAGTGGGTGAATGGTTTGTGGGTCCCCTTTGATTTCTTTCTCGGCAGGGCTCCTCTGGCTCCTTTGCTCCCATGTCCCAGCAGTTCCTCACAGTCCAGCTGGACTGTGGGGAGGGGGATGCATCTTGGGGACCTCTGTCCTCAGGTTGCTTTGAGGTGACTTGGGCTGCTTTATTTATGCTATTGCTTTTTTTTCTGCAGAACATCTTGGAAAGAGTAAGTTTATTTGCGCACTGCCTAAGGGTAACACAGGGAGTCCACACAGGGTCTTTAGGCAAGGTGGCATCCGTGAGGAAACAGGGTCAAGCTAAAGGGACAGCAGTGTGTGGTCCAGGGTCCCAGCCTGTGTGTGGCACTACATGTTAGCTCTCTGGACCTGTGGTATAAGGCAGAATTTGAGGTTGCGTTTTTGTTTTTTTAAAGATTTTATTTATTTGACAAAGAGAGACACAGGGCGAGAGATGGAACACACGCAGTGGGAGAGGGAGAGGGAGAAGCAGGCTTCTGGACCAGCAGGGAGCCTGATGCGGGGCTCGATCCCAGGACCCTGGGATCATGACCCGAGCGAAGGCAGATGCTTAACTGACTGAGCCACCCAGGCACCCCTCGAAATTGCAGGTTTTTTGTCACCTTTAACCAAAATCAGAGTAAACAAAAAGGGAGGTTAATTGGCTTGCAGTTGGTGTCAGGTATGGTTGGATCTAGGTGCTCAGATGATGCTATCAGTGCTGTTTCTCATTTTCTTTCTTTCTTTTTTTTTTTTTAAAGATTTCATTTATTTATTTATTTATTTGTCAGAGAGAGAGAGAGTATGCACAAGCAGGCAGAGTGCCAGGCAGAGGCGGAGAGAGAAGCAGGCTCCCTGCTGAGCAAGGAGCCCGATGTGGGACTCCATCCCAGGACACTGGGATCATGTCCTGAGCCAAAGCAGCGGCTTAACCGACTGAGCCACCCAGGTGTCCCTGTTTCTCATTTTCTTAAGCCAGCTTCCTCTCTGTGTTGTCCCCATTCTCAGGTGGCTTATTATCCTGGGTGGTGGCAGGCTGGCCACAGCAACTCCAGTAAGTCCAGAAGGCAAGAGTGACCACAGCAAAGGGTTTATTGTGTGTGTGTGTCTCTTTTTAGCTTTACTATTGTTTCTTATTGGCTCTGAACCAATTGCTGTGGCCCGGGGAATTTGTGGCTGCCATTGGCCAGGCCTGAGCCAGGCCTGAGCCATGTGCCCCACCCTTAGCCACAGGGGCTTGGAGGTGGGGAAGACTGGCTTTCACAGGCTCCCTCGGGGCTCTTGCTGAGGGAGGATGGTCAAGTGCTGGTTTGCTGTGAATGACCTTCATAGGTCATCTTGAACCCAGAGTGTGGGCAGGCTCAGGCCTGCTGCTTTGTTCCCCTCCGGCCATGACTGTGCTATGCCCAGATGGGCAGCTCCTGTCATCAGGGAGTGGGGTCTGAGGCCCAAGCTGGTGCCCAGAAGCCTTCCTAGGAATCACCCCCCTGTGTCTGGAAGGCTGGAGAGGCAGAGCAACCCCTCTGGTTAGAGTCGGCTGAGCCATAGCCAGAGACACCAGCGAGGCAAGGGAAATAGTGTCACCTTTGGATTCCGACAGACATAGGGCTGCCGGGGCCTAGGCTCTGTGACCCTGGGCGAGCCTCATAACCCCTCTAAGTCTTGGTTCTGCTACTGGTAAGATGGGCACAACGGCCTCCCGAGAGGGGCAGGTAGCTGCTGTGTGGGGCCCCTGGAAAGTGCTGCTGTTCTTTCCCCACTGTGTTTGGAAAAGGCCCCCTGAACCTGGTGTCAAGACCCAGTTATGCGTCTTATGAGTGCGGGCAGGGTGGGGACATAGACCCCATATTCCAGGGTCCTTAGCTGTGACTGTTGGCCGTGGGAAAGTTGTTTAACCACTTGCATCCTGTCATCAGAATGGGGGCAGTTGTTCCTTTCGGTGGGTTTTGGGGAGATGAATGGGTGACCTTCTGAGATGGCATGTGATCTAGAAGGGGAGAGCCCTTTGCTGCAGACCGGGCCTTCACATTGACTCCAGCCCTGTGTCCCTGTGCCTGGCCCCTGCTTCAGGCCCCCATGCTCCCCAGAGACATGGATTGCATGGCCCCAAACCCCCTGAGCTTCCACAAACTCAGCAGCCACTCTCTGAGCTCCTTGGTTTTCCCTCTGTGAGTGTCTGCCTGTTTCTCCCACCACGGAGGCAGCCGGGACGTGGCCGTCCCTACCCAGCCAGAGTCAGCAGGCCCTAGGTTGGGAGATTTGTTACCTGGCTCCTTCCAACCTGGCTCAGCATGTGGCAGTGACTCTAGGCTATGGACCAACCTCATGGCCCAGCCCTGATTCCCTGCTGGCCTTCTTTCAAGGGTGCTTCTCCCTGCTGTCCTGCATGACTTAAAAAAACAAAACAAAAAATGAAACCCCCCCCCCCCGCCAGCAACTTTTCAGCTATGCATAGGGAGGTCCTCTGACCCCAAGCCCACTCCTGCATGGACCCCTAGCTGCAGCTGCCTTGGCCCCTCCCTGAAGGCAGGGCCAGGAAACCCCTTACTGGGGTCTCCCAGGCTCCTTTGCTGCCGGGAGGAGCCCTGCCCATCTGACCCATCCCTGACTCTCCTCCCTGCCCTGTGAGGGTGTCAGCTCTGCATCCATCCTGCTGGTGCTGGTCATTTCCGTACTTTGCCCCCAGTCAAAACATGGCCTCTTCATCTCTTTCCTTTTTTTGCTTCGCTTTTCTTTGCATAAATAAATGAAAGCATAAGTGTGTTAAAAATCCCAGCTTGCTTTCCAAACTTAACCCACTGTAGGAGCAGTACCGAGGCTGGGAAGAGCAGGGACGCAGAGCCAGGCTTCCTGAGTTTAGACCCGGACTCTTACCACTTGCTACCAGGAAGGTGACTTAAAAGCTCTGTGCCTCAGTTTCCCCTCCTGTCAAGTGAGGGTGAAATAGTATGGGCCTCGTGGGGTTACTGTGGGGATTAAATAAGCTAATGCATGTGAAGCAGTTAGCTTGATTCCAGGCCCACAGTGAGGGCCCCGGAGGTTTGTGTCACTCAGTTTTAGAGGGTCACACCCCTATCATTCTGGTGGATGTGCAAACTTTGTGTTGTCCTCTTTTGCTTAATAATTCAAAACCAGGGGCGCCTGGGTGTCTCAGTCTGTTAAGCGTCTGCCTTTGGCTCAGGTTGTGATCTCAGGGTCCTGGGATTGAGCCCCCCGTTGGGCTCCTTGCTCAGCGGGGAGTCTGTTTCTCCCTCTCCCTCTGGACAACCCCCCCACTTGTGCTCTCTCTGACACATAAATATATACAATCTTTTTTTTTTTCTGAATATTTTATTTATTTGAGACAGAGAACACAAGGTGTTGGGGTGGGGGCGGTGGCAGGGCAGAGGGAGAAGGAGAAGCAGACTCCCCGCTGAGCAGGGAGCCCTATGTGGGACTCCATCCCAGGACGCGGGGATCATGACCTGAGCTGAAGGCAGAGGCCTAACCAACTGAGCCACCCAGGCACCCCTAAATATATAAAATCTTAAAAAAAAAATTCAAAACCACTTTGCAATGTCTGAATTACCCTCTGAAGTTGATTTCCCCTGCAGTTGGAGCTGGAGTGCAGTAGCCTGGCCGCCTGCTGAGTGAGTGGTCCTGTGGGGGGCTGTGCCCTCCCTTACTGCCTTTCCAGGCTCTGTGGGTGGGGGTTACTCAGC